TTCAAACAGCCATTCAGTGAGTTCTCTTAGCAAAATCGGGGACTTATAAGTTCTCATTCAGATGTGTGACTTCAGAGGAAGCACGCGGTAAATTCGTACAGGTTGGGGAACAAAAGATTTTGTATATCGGTCAGTCCTCGCCCTGATGCAAAGAATTCGTCCCGAACGGCCCGATCCTAAATATCTAGGATGAAGAGGGTGGGATGTATCATCCAAAATGTTTCTCGTTTTACAAAAACATCTTTCTTCAAATAGTTCTTCAAGTGAAGGATGTTTAGTTTGTGTTATGTTCCTAGCTTTCTTGATTAGTCGGTTTATGTGGTGTTTAATATCAGACAATGAATTCCCACACCAGCTGGTAATACTGAAATTAAGCAGGCTTCCAATTGTTGCACTGTAGAATAAGTTAATGACTTGCTTGTTTACGCCGATATTGTACAGTTTTTTGAGGTAGAACAGTCTTTGGTTGAATTTCTTATACAGCATTTGGCCGAGCAAATGCCATGTTAGCTTATTATTAATGGTAACACCAAAGTACTTTGTATGCCTCCACTTTCTCTACAATTTGATTTTTTAGGTTGAGATCTGTAATCTGGTGTTTCCCTCTCCTGAAATCAGCAACCATTTCTGTTGTTTTTGAGACATTCAACTGGAGAAAATTTTCATCGCACCAAATGATAAAACTTGTAACTTAGTTGCGGTATAGGCCTTCTCCTTCAGATATTAAGCCAACGATGGTGGTATCATTAGCAAATTTTAAGATTGGAACGGTGTCGCTTGAGCTTTGAATATCATTTGTATATATTGTATACAGTACAGGGGAGAGAACGCAGCCTCGTGGTGCCCCGGTGCTTATTTCTCTGGTTAGAGATAATTGGTTATTTACTTTGATATGAAAATACATAAGTCTGACGTCATATAAAGAGATGTATAAAGAGATTATGCCGAAAGGGTCATTTTGACATCATATTGTTGTGCCTCATTTGAAAGCAACATAAGGAATAGACAAACATAATGTGACAACTGGAAGGTCCACCCGCATCCTTTGAGAGTTCTCTTCAACACTTTTTTTTAGCATTTTATTTTACCATAAGAACCATCCTCGGGTGCAAGTAACAACGCATTTGAAAAAATATCGATTATTAAAACTCGACTCATCTCAGCCGATAACAACATCTGATACTCGACTCATCTCAGCCGATAACACGATCTGAAACTCGACTCATCTCAGCCGATAACAAGATCTGAAACTCAACTCATCTCAGCCGATAACAACATCTGAAACTCGACTCATCTCAGCCGATAACAAGATCTGAAACTCGACTCATCTCAGCCGATAACAAGATCTGAAACTCGACTCATCTCAGCCGATAACAAGATCTGAAACTCAACTCATCTCAGCCGATAACAAGATCTGAAACTCAACTCATCTCAGCCAATAACAAGACCTGTCGATGCAGCGTTGAACTCATACATAAGATGCAGGACCTGCCCATAAAGGGGGATAACGAAAGGTCTTAGGACTTTCTCTAAATCCAGGTCAGCATCAATCAGCACCATCGCCTTATTAGTTGGTGTGGAACGGTCTTAGTGCGAAGTGCCGTCTCCGCTTCCTGTTGGTGACGGGTTGCCGAAATTGACCAAGTTCGTCCACAGCTATTGAACTTCCGCGCCGACCGCCTTATTGGTGTTGGTCCGAGCTACTGAGATGGGGGTCGAAGAACACGAACCGCCCCTCCGCAGCGTGGGCAACGCCCATCCACTAAGGTGGGAGGGGGGGTCGCTGTAGTGTTCGCCCTGAAAATGAATTCGTAGAAGTAGTGTCGGGTCGTGAGACCTGCTTTCTCGACGGTTTTGAAATCCACAAGCGTATCCAAGTTATTTAAATTACCGCTGCCGAAGAGATCATATTCTTCGGATGATCGGGGAGGAACTCAACCTCTTTCCCCACTCTGGGGATGCCCATGAAGGATTTACCGATATTTCTGCTCGGCGGCGTCTGACGCATTTAGCAGACGACCAGCGTCCACAAAGCAGCACAGCAACGCCGACGAGTCCGCATTCCCACACCCGACGCTTGTGGCGATAGCTCTGGTGAAATCTTTCTCTTTAGCCAATGTCCCATGGCCTTTCAGAGGCGGACGAAGAAAGGGCCGATCCGCTGTCCATAATGGCCCGCGGGAAACAAACCTTTCGATAACGGAGAAAGAATGTGGAAAGCGACACTGTGGCCCCAGATACTTTCCCCGGCGATGGTGGCTTGAGCGGGGTCTCCACCATTGGGGGGGGGAGGGGGGGAACACGCTCGGGTTCAAACAGTCTTCTGAATCGCATGGGCTCCATGAGTGCTCGTGGCTTTTTGCGACAGTGACAGATTGTGTCCGGGTGTCTCCTTCCATCCTTGACCCCAGTCCATTCACGAGCAACAGCTGGAGGTTCAAACCGCATTTGCCCTGGAGTATAACAGAAGGGAATGAATCAAATGAAAGGTGCCGACAAAGGGATGGGACGAACACAGAAGTTCATGCCATGGACGAATTTTTTGAGTGGCATGCAAAATAACGAAATCACTTTAAGTCTCGCCGAGGCAAACTTATACATTTCGAAAAAACCTACTGAAACCTTTAAAACCCTACCAAAACCTAAGAAAACAAACCAAAACCTAACAAAAACGTACTAAAACCTATATAAACGTACTAAAACCTAACCAAACTTACCAAAACCTACCAAAACCTACCAAAAGCTGACATTGTAATAATGACATCACAAAATCTGGCTTTACTGTTTTTAAATGGCCACGGCGTCTTGCGTCACGTGAACGTGGGTTAGGGAAGTCAAGAAGAAAAAGATAACAGGGGGGGGGGGATTCCCATTGGTTACTTCAGATATTCCCAGTGCGAGATAACGTAGGGATCCAAAAATGCATTTCCTTGAACGACTGTTTAAATTTTTTAGAACATTTATAGAACATAAGCCATAGATCTATAGAACCATAATTTATAGATCTATAGAAATATAATTTATAGATATGCAGAACATAAGCTACAGATCTATAGACTAGAACATACGCTATAGATCTATAGAATATAGATCTATAGAACATAAATCATAGATCTATAGAGCATATATGCACCTACTGGAAGGCGATTTAGTGTACCGGTATAGTATAGCATATAATTTGTTGACATCCTCTCCTGTACTTGGATTCACATTTACACCTCGTAGTTGCTGCCACCTGTCAAGAGTTACTCATGCGTCAGGTGTGTTGCTAGGGACGCTGGGAGCTGTCGTAAAAAATTCAGGAAACCCAAACCGGCAAGGGCCAGATACGCGTTAGATGTCGAAGTTGGCATTTTAAGGAAATTACTGAAATTAATTTCACAAAACTGTTTTTAATTTACATAAATTTATAACTTGTTAAATCTGTTAACGTGGGGGGGGGGGATGTTGATGGGCGTGGGGGAGGAGGATAGAAAATATTTCAAAGTTTAATTAAGTTCAATTTCAAGTGTTTAAATTTAAACGATGGACACATGGATGATTTCCAAACAGATGAACTAATCTTGGCTTTGTATGTCATTATACGCTATCAACAGATGGTTAATAATATTGGAAGAAAAACATAAAAATAAAATTAATTAGAAATTTAGGATATAGACTACAGATTTTCACAATTTCTCACTCGCATCTCTTAAGAGACTTATTCACTATTTTGTTTTACTATATAGTGTGTTTAAAGAGAAATTTATCGAAAATTTGATCATGTGAACTGAACATTAGCAACCTTCAATTTACCCCCCCCCCCCACATTCTCACTCGCATCTCTTAAGAGACTAATTCACTATTTTGTTTTACTATATAGTGTGTTTAAAGAGAAATTTATCGAAAATTTGATCATGTGAACTGAACATTAGCAACCTTCAATTTACCCCCCCCCCCCAACCAACAATAAATAATCGACCATACTTCCGTTCGACCAACATTTCTTATGACTTCTTTCAAACAAATTTCCGGTAACACAGATGAACATTTCTAAGCACAAAGTCACAAATAGACGTGTTCAGTCAAAAGGTCACACGTAGAGATGTCAATATGATGTCACACTTAGACTTAGACATGTCCAGGCTGCAAGGTTACACATGGACATGTCCAGGCACAAGGTCCCACATGGACATGTCCAGGCACAAGGTCCCACATGGACATGTCCAGGCACAAGCTCCCACATGGGCATGTCAAGGCAAAAGGTCCCACATGGACATGTCCAGGCACAAGGTCCCACATGGACATGTCCAGGCACAAGGTCACACATGGGCATGTCCAGGAAAAAGGTCACACATGGGCATGTCCAGGCACAAGGTCACACATACACATGCACGGATACAACGCTACCGATGGACAAGTCCAAATACAAGACTACAAAGAAATGTGTCCAGATATCAAAACAAAAATGTGCCAAGACACAAGACAACAAAGAAATGTGTCCGGACACAAGACCACAATAGATGTGTCCAGAGAAGGCCACAACAGAAAGGGGTCCAGACAAGAGCACAACAAAAATGTGTCCGAACACAAGACCACAATAGAAATGTGTCCGGACACAAAACCACAATAGACATGATCTGACTGACCTCCTGTACTTAGGTTCGGCCGACTTAACAGCACCACAATAAATTAGTCCTCACGAGACAAAAAAACAACAGCAATATGTCAAGACACAATACCACAAGCAATGTGTCCAGACAAAAGACCACAAACAATGTGTTCAGGCACAAGACCTTTCATAAAAGATGTGTCCATGTAAGACCAGAATAGAAATATGTCCAGAACAGACCACAACAGACAAGTTCTGACAGACCGGGTACGTAGGTTCGATTTCAGCACCCTTCTCAGTGGAGCCTAATCCCTCCATCAAACAATTTTATTGATCATCCTAGCGTGACCTAGATTTAGGCGTGGCCTACATTTATTGTCTGTGGATTTGTCGCCAGCCCGTGCCAGGATCAGAGGATGAGTTGTTGCTGGCCATGAGTTGCCAGCCGTGCAGACTCCACTCTCGCGTAGAATCGGCCGCGGACGCATACATCTCCTGGTGGTGAGTACAGCTTTTGGATTGTGTATTTTTAGTTTGTGGTAAACATGGAACTAACATTTCCTACTAACAGAAAAGTGAACCTCTCTGAATCTGGAACTGACGTGACAAACTTGTGAAACATGTGTATGAAATGAAACACACTCACTAAACGCACAACAACACAACGAATTCACATCACACATTAGAACGATGGAATATGTCACTCACTGTAATTTTTCAAAATGCTGACCATATTCAATCGTTTAGGTTTATTTGACCAAAAGGACTGAAACCTTAAAAGTGTGGGGGAGGGGTGTGTCTTCGATAATTATTACATAGTAAATTCATAGAAAATGAAAAGCTCGTTGAAGTACAACGGACCTAGCGTTTACGCTTATGAATGAACTAGAACTAGACCGTGTGAAATATGAGACATTTTGAATAAAAATGTAAGAGAAAAATACGATTTTGACTGGAAACCTTCACCGGCAAGTATAAAACAAAACCAGAGAGAATACGACTATGGGATATCTTTAACGAGGTTACAATAACTGTACCGATTAATAGAACAACCAATGCGTCATTAGCGGGGTTAAGATAACTGTACCAAGTAATATGAGTACCCGACTCCCAGTCAGGGGGTTACAAAATTATCAGCACTATTCAAGCATATTGGGTACACCCTACTATTAAACAGCACGCGATGCAAACGTTTTCTTGTAAATTTCTATGTTTAAGCTTTTCTGTGTTCCACTTAACACTACCATCCATAGCTAACACCATCCATAGCTAACACCATCTATAGCTAACACAATATGTAGCTAACACCATCTGTAGCTAACGCCATCTGTAGTTAACGCCATCTGTAGCTAACACCATCTATAGCTAACACCATGTATAGCTGACATCATCTATAGCTGACACCATCTATAGCTGACACCATCTGTAGCTGACACCATCTATAGCTAACACCATCTATAGCTAACACCATCTATAGCTGACACCATCTACATCTGACACCATCTATAGCTAACATCATCTACATCTGACACCATCTATAGCTAACATCAACCATCTTTAGCTGACACCATCTTTAGCTAACACCATCTACAACTAACACCATCTATAACTAACACCATCTATAACTAACACCATCTATAGCTAACACCATCTACAGCTGACACCACCTATAGCTAAGACATCTATAGCTAACACCATGTATAGCTAACACCATCTTTAGCTCAACTCGTGATAGAACTAGACACAGAGATCAGGGTTTCCCAAACTTTTAATTCTCAGTTTGGTGGACCGGTGGGCAAGTTTCGAAATTGCCCCAGGGACCGGTGTCAGATTCATTAATTATATATTTTCTATTTATTTGAAAACAATACATTCATCTTGTGCTGACCGAGAACCTAAGGCTCGCAGACCGACGCGGTCAACGGACCACTACTTGGGGAACGCCGGCATAGATTACAACCAATCAACTGACTTAACTAGGGTGAACACACAAATGGTAACACAGAAAGATAAAACATAGAGATGCACAGCTCTGGTCAGGACTGTTCCGAGGAAAAGTTTGGCGCGGGGCGAAGCCTAAAAATAGCCCCCCTCCACTTCCCTCCCTTCCACTCCCCCGGCCCCCGTTTCACGAAAAAACGATATATGATATCGGTATTACATAATATAAGGCCTATTTAAGGATATTTTATTTGATTAGTCTGTCGGCCACACTTGCCATGCTGACCTGGGTTGGGGCGGTGCAGGAGATGCTGGTGACGGGTGGCTGTGATGGTGCATATACTACTTGAGACACTTAATGACATTAAACACTGACGTGTTTACTAACACCCACTTGATTTGATGAAACCGTTTGTCTGCTAAATATGTAACTCAGAGCTTTTGCATACCCCCCTCTCTTCCCCAAACCCTGTGGCCTGGAGGAGGGACTCGGATATTTAAGGGGCCCAAAGCTGCTATGTGGAAAAAAAAATTAAACTATCCACTTTGAAGTGTCAGGGGACCTTCAAATTTGACGCGACACCGCTCTTAGTGTAACGTAAAGAAACCAATTTCTACACACTTAGAGTCAATATAACTTATACACGAACTAGCTTTTCAGTCCATTTCATTGCTCTTTGTCTTCAATTTTATTATTAGAAAAACATGCATTTATATATTTTATTTAAAAACGTAAATTTTAGGGGAAATTGCCACACATTTTAGATTATTCAACCTTAGTTCACTCTGTGATGTGTAAATCATCTTCCTGTGAAAGGTCATCATCCACAGCCGAACCCGAGAGTGATTTCCCCTCATTATGACTGGGTCTTGTGTTTACAGTAGACAGAGAAGCGAATTCCAGGCCAGGGGCTCGTACTGGCACTGTTCATTGTATGTTTCCATGGTAACCTCTTGGCTCTCCTAAAGCTGCAGCGGATAGATAGTGGCAATTTGTAAAACGTAGCTGTTAGACTTTCCATTGCCAGAAACTCTACCAATATACTATTCAGTCTATTACAAATAGTATATTTTCCAACTACCCAATATATCACAGTGCACATATTCCCAACCATTCATTATACATAGCCAGTCATTACCATTCTTTACCTAATACAAAATACGTTTTCAAAACCATTTACCCTCCACCTTCTCATGTATATATCATCTCTCCTTCTCTGACATTACCCCTACCAACTGTCTAACCATCTCTCCTCCATTGTGCCTGATCTGGCTCCCTCTCTGACTGATCTATCTGCCCTACCTCTTACTAATCTGTCTGCTTCCCTCCCTTGCCAATTTATATTCCCCCCCTCTCTAAAAAAGCTATCTCTCCCCCCTCTTACCAATCGACCTTCCCCCCCTCTCTCTGACCTATCTTCCCTCCCTCTTTGACCTATATCTGTCTCCTACCGCTGTGGCCAATCTATCAGGATGTCTGACCGCCCATATCTATAGTGCCCTAACTATCAGGATGTCTGACCACCCATATCTATAGTGCCCTAACTATAAGGATGTCTGACCGCCCATATATATAGTGCCCTAACTACCAGGATGTCTGACCTCCCATATCTATAGTGCCCTAACTATCAGGATGTCTGACCGCCCATATCTATAGTGCCCTAACTATCAGGATGTCTGACCACCCATATCTATAGTGCCCTAACTATAAGGATGTCTGACCGCCCATATATATAGTGCCCTAACTACCAGGATGTCTGACCACCCATATCTATAGTGCCCTAACTATCAGGATGTCTGACCACCCATATCTATAGTGCCCTAACTATCAGGATGTCTGACCATTCACTGAATAAACGATCACACTTTCACTTCCACCATACATAGGGTGACCAAACGTCCCGTAAAAACGGGAATTGTCCCGTTTGTTCAGGATCGTACTCCGTGTCCCGAAAGAGTCTTCCGGGAAGACTAAATGTCCCGTTTCTAAAACCAAACACATTTTCTGTTTTAGTTTAGACAACTTTATATCAGATAAGAAGGAACATTTAAAAATGGCCGGGACAACAGCCAAATATCCTCAATTTAAATCCTACACCAGCGAAATTTAATTTGTTGTGTTGCATTATGTTGTAAAATATGTATAAATAAATAAATATTCACTGCAAAATTATTGTTGTCGCTCATGATATGCCCCAGAGTTTAAATTAAATTACAAAAGAGAAGTTAAATTTAAAAAAAGATTTCTAGGTCTCAAAATAGTTCAAATGAGCATATTTCAATAAACTGTTTCCGGCGGAGGCCCCCAGCCCTCTCTTTAGCTGGAGGGTATCCCCCCCCCCGAACCCTCCATGGGTGTGTCCCGTTTTTTCAAGTTCATGATTTGGTCAACCCAACTATACCACAAGTCCTCCTCCGTCTCCTCCCCAGATACGCACCATTCAACTCCCATCCTCTCAACCCCCCCCNAACCCCCATCCCCACAACCCCCCCCCCCCCAACCATGTTGTATAAGGTCACGTATAATTCCTCAATTACTTTTCCAGAGAGAACGCCATACCGGAAGTGAAATTCATGCTGCAGAAAGCACTGACCTACTTCAGACAGGAAGTGAAATTCATGCCGCAGAAAGACTGACATACTTAAAACGCGAGGGACTAACTGACAGCCCTGTGGATGGAATGATGAAAAGATACGTTAGATTGTAGATGTAAAATATCAAAGTCTACTTCTGTGATGGTGACCTGCGTGGGCGTGGCTGACGGACAGAGCGCGGATTCCCCGTAGTTAACGAACTCCCCTGGAGGACCAACAGTTTAGCCTTGCTGACACACGAAGCTAACGAAATGGGCACTTATCAGTTAGGGCTAATTTATTCAACCTAAGAACTGGTTTTATTGGCTTTTAAAAAAAAAAAAATGAGCACAACGTGCATTGGAAAACTGTGGGCTGTGACGTCATTCCTGGCGTCCTTAGCAACAGCGGTTGGCTATTACTTTCCTTACTGGCTCGAAGGTTACTACATGCACGAAAATGGCGTCACCTACCCCATGTACTTCGGCATTTTTAGGAGATGCTCGTATCCAAAGCGTGACAAAGACGGCACTGTTGCCATATTGGACGAGTGTGGCCGTTATTCAGATTTCCTGGACATTCCCAGTATTTTCTGGCAGGTAGGGGAGATTTTGTCTTATTATAACGGTCAGAATTTTTGTGGTGCAGATATAAGGAAGCAATGTTGTCTGACCTAGCCCTTTGTCTGACCCAACCAGTTGTCTGACCTAACCAGGTGTCTGACCTAACCAGTTACGTTAGTGGTTTTCTGACGTAACCAGTTGTCACACATAACCAGTTGTGTCTTCTGACCTAGCTAGTTGTGTCTTCTGACCTAGCTAGTTGTGTCTTCTGACCTAGCTAGTTGTGTCTTCTGACCTAGCTAGTTGTGTATTCTGATCTAACTAATCACGTTACTGGTTTTCTGACCAGTTGCCTGACGTAACCAGTTGTCTAGCATCCAGTTGTGTCTTCTGATCTAACCAGTTACCTTAGTTGTTTTCTGGCATAACCAGTCATCTGACATAACTGATTGTCTGACATAACCAGTTGTCTGACATAACCATCTGTCTGACATAAACATTTTTCTGACATAACCAGTTGTGTCTTCTGACCTAGCCAGTTGTGTCTTCTGATCTAACCTGTTACGTTAGCTGTTTTCTGACACAACCAGTCATCTGACATAGCCAGCTGTCTGACATAACCAGTTGTCTGGCATAACCAGCTGTGTTTTCTGACCTAGTGAGTTGTGTCATCTCATCTAACCAGTTTTGTCCTCTGATCTAACCAGTTGTCATCTGACCAAACCAGTTCCGTCTTCCGCAAACGGTTCAGTTGTGTCTTGTCACCAGTTGTTGCCTTAACCATTGCTGTCTGACTTACAAATGTGTGGTTTTTGTGTGTGCGCAATTAATGCGGATATTGTTTGATTGCTGCAGATCGGCACAGTGACCATCGGCACAGGCGCCTGCCTCTCACTGCTGGTGTCCATGACTGCCCTGGTGTCCTTGTGTGTGAGGGACATCATCACTGCTAGACTTGCCAGGTTCACCGGAGTCATGCAGCTGTGTGCCGGTAGGGAAGTGTGCTTTTGTGTGTGTGTGGGGGGGGGGTGAGGAGTTTGTGTGGGGGATGTGAAAGGAGGGCATTTTATGTGGATGGGGAGGAGTTTGTGTATGCCAAGTGTAGGGAGACATATGTATGTAAAAACGTGGAGGGATTTGTGGGTGGGGTGAGTTGGTAGAGGTGTTGGGTGGGGTGTTCTGGTAGAAGTGTGTTGGGTGGGTTGAGTTGGTAGAGGTGTTGGGTGGGGTGTTTTGGTAGAAGTGTGTTGGGTGGGTTGAGTTGTTAGAGGTGTTGGGTGGGGTGTTCTGGTAGAAGTGTGTTGGGTGGGGGGAGTTGGTAGTGGTGTTGGGTGGGGTGTTCTGGTTGTGTTGGGTGGGTTGAGTTGGTAGAGGTGTTGGGTGGGGTGTTTTGGTAGAAGTGTGTTGGGTGGGTTGAGTTGTTAGAGGTGTTGGGTGGGGTGTTCTGGTAGAAGTGTGTTGGGTGGGTTGAGTTGGTAGAGGTGTTGGGTGGGGTGTTCTGGCGGAGGTGTGTTGGGTGGATGTTATTGGTAGTAGTGTGTGCGTTCATGAACATTGTAGTCCATTAAAGTGTGTCGGTTCTAATGCTTGTTACTGCTTGCGTTGTTTAAGGTTTATAGTTTGTTTAGATGGTATCATGGTGTAAGTTGGTGTAAGTTGGTGTAAGTTGGTGAATGATTGAACGAGTTATTGGTACTGAGATGGTTAAGCTGTTGTCAGATGTGATTCTTATGTAGAAACAGGGCCGTATTATCCATTAGGCTGACCAAGCAGGGGTCTAGGAGCCACCATGAACAAGAGCCCATGCAATCTTTAGCCCCACAATGGCAATGCTGCGTAATTGAAAATTCCACATTTACGAGGGGTCCAAAGAAGCCCGAAGCCTAAGGGCAAGGGCCTTGACATGGGTTAATACGGCACTGCATTGGTTAATACGGCGATGCATGGGTTAATACGGCACTGTGTTGAAAGAGCAAGATTTGAGATCAAGCTAATGCCATTAAAAGGCTGAAAATAACACAAACTGAGCTCATTACTTTGATCATTTCTCATGTTGTTTATATCAGGGTTGCTAGTAGGAGGCGGTCTAGCCATCTACCCATACGGCTGGGACACCGTTCAGGTGAAACAAGCCTGCGGTGGAACATCGGGTGTCTTTCAATTAGGTAAATGTGTTGACTGCAGGTTTTTTTTTTAGAGTTGTGATGGTAGGATGCTAATGGGATTGAAATGGTAGGACCGTCGGGGGATTGTGATGGTAGGATGCTAAGGGATTGTGATGGTATGGTACTAATAGGATTGTGATGGTAGGGTGCTAATGGGATTGTGTTGGTAGAATGTTAATGGGATTGTGATGGTAGGATGTAATGGGATTCTGATGGTAGACTAAGCTGCTAATGGGATTGTGATGGTATGGTGCTAATGGGACTGTGATGGTAGGATGCTAATGGGACTGTGATGGTAGGATGCTAAAGGGATTGTGATGGTTTGGTGATAATGGGATTCTGATGGTAGATGCTATTGGGATCGTGATGGTTGAGTGATCATGGGCTTATATTGGTGGGGTACTTATGAGATTATGATGGTTGAGTGATCATGGGATCCTGATGGAGGGGTTCTAATGGCATTGTGAAGGTGGGGTTCAAATGGTATGATGATGATAGGTGGTGAATAGGGTTGTAATAATCACCCTTGCACCCTGTGATAGAGATTGTTACTATTGCGGGTATACACTAACATGAAAATTTCCTCTACAGGTGGATGTCATCTGTACTGGGCTTTCTACCTGACAGCTGGAGGCGGGGCCCTAACCATGATCTGTTCAACTCTGGCCTGTCACGCATTCAAGTACAAGCTACACACAAGAATCAGTTACGATTTGTGAAACAACCACCCGATGATAACAACCACCTCATGATGCTACGATTTGTGAGACAGCCACCCCCATAATGTTATCATTTGTGAAGCAGTCACCTCATGATGTTATCATTTGCAAAATAACCACTTCATGATGTCATGATTTGTGAGACAACTATCTTTAGCGTTGAGATTTATGGCTTTTGCAATCCAGGTCCCAATGGGATACGAGGTCTTCTGCCTAACTTCCAAAGGACTATGATGTTCAAGAAATCTTCAGACATGGATGGTTTAATTAAAGCTATCAAAATAATGTAATAGAAGATTGTTCCAGCATGGAAAAGTAAATATTTCTGAGGGACACCTTTACTTTTCATGTGCAGAACCAAAATGGGGATATTCTATATTTAAAGCTTGGAAGTACAGATTTCAAAAGAAAAGTGTTTAAAATCATTAAATCGTCTAGTTTACTTTCAGCCGGCGAACCCCACAGAAAACCCCTTGTGACCCAATTTGGGGCCGCAAACCTTGGGTTGGGAACTGAAGTGATAGAGAGAAGTCATGCTTCTTTGCGTTTGCCTCTTACATCTTTGATGGCACAAGCGATTGACTCATTGAATAAATGTAAAGAAAATAAGCAAAAGACAAAAAAAAAATCAGGCACTAAGTCCCAGCAGTCAAAAATAAAGTTAATGGAAGGAAGGGAAGTAACATGCACAAATCTATTTTCAGAAAATACTGAAGAATAACCTTAAAGATAATTTTTTTATTAAAAATTATTTATTTTTACTTTTCAATTTTGTATTTTAAATTTTTCATCGCTGATAATGTTAGGGTCAAATGCCCCTCTGGCACTGCCCCCACTAGAGTTAACTGCCCCCCGCCCCCTAACTAGAGTTAACTTGCCCTCTGGCATCCCTCCCCCACTAAATTCTACGTGCATTTCCATCTTAAGCGTGGATTGTAGTTTTTTTGTTTGTTTACACACGTGACTGAGTGACCTTGCTCACCTAGTGGTCATCTTTAAGGCTGTAGCTAAGTTGTGTGAGCACCACGTCTGCTTCATTAACTAAACAGTGGGATAAAAAGGGGTGGGTTAGGGTGGGTCACATGAGAGCTTTGGGATTAAGGGTATTTTTTTTAAAAAAGCAGGAAATAATACTTCTTTTGTGGATAATGTACAAATTAAATTTTTAATACTTAAAAATAGCAGATAAAAAATATTAAAAAAAAAACAAACTTTCTATCAAAGGTGAGTACATACACACTAAAAGTGGAAAAGAATTTTTAAAAATTCTTAAAATACATAATGCAAAGAAAGTCTGGCAGACAATATTTTTTTTAAATTGATAACAATAAAACATTTAAGTTTCATCTATATTCAATTCAAATCCTTTGAATACACAGTGTGCTCATCCACACTTCTGAACAGTCTTTCTTTGAGTAGAGTTTAATGCATTTTAAGAAATTGTAAATTATTTTCTACCTTTAAGTGCGTTTTGACTCATTTCAGATAGAAAGTCTTTTTTGTCCATTTTTATTTTTTTAATTTTCCTTTGCGGGATCTTCGTTTGCATTCATGTACCGTATATCAGAAAATGACAAATAAATGCTTTCTTTTTACTAGAAAGATGTAGGTTAGCTCCTGTGAATTATTGTACACACTTATCTCCCAGGAATTATTGTACACACTTATCTCCCAGGAATTATTGTACACACTTATCTCCCAGGAATTATTGTCCCTTTTAACTGTAAAAACAGCTTCAAATAAATATTTATTTGGAACAAAATCATTGAAATTGGACATTTTTAAAGATTATATTATAAATTAAATTTATTAAAATGTCCACGTTTAAAGATGTGTTTCACAACTGAACCATAGGGATGGGGTGACACAATTCAAGTTAACGGGTATTTCTGTTTTGAATATTGCCCCCCCCCCCTTTTCCCCTTATCCTTACGTTTCTTTTTGGGAGCAATCAAAATTCTGACATATTAGCTGCATTCCTCTTGTTGTACAATTTCATCCATGGCTGTTATAAATGGACTCTACAATCATAATTCTCTTATAAAATGTTACACTTGTGATGTTTAGCAAAGAATCATGATAAAAAAATATTTTTTAATGTAAAATTCTTTTTCAATAAAAGTGATTTTTGTGTTTGATGAACATTTTTGTTTAAAATCAAATTTATCAATCATTATAAAATTGGCAAATACTCTATGATTTACAAAGCATTTGTTAAGATTTCTTTAGCCAAAAACTCTTAATGTGGTTAACATTTGTGTTGAAATATTTATTAAGGCTATTCACTTAGCCCTCAATATTATGAGCACCAGCACAAGTCTCTCATTCATTAGTCTCCTAGCAGTGGCATAAAAGATTTTTTTTCTGCTGTGAACATATACATTTTTTGCTTAGACAACACTTTTAGATCTTTCCGTAAGACTTGGTTGTTGTTCTGTCCACTGTCCTGCCAGGAAGGCGTAGCAAGGTACATTTGGTGGTGTGCGGCAGTGGTGTACCTATGGTCCTAGGATATGACAGGGCAGATGGCCTGGGCGCCACTTGCAGGAGGCATTAAAAATCTCATTTTCTATTTATTGATTCCATAGCTATTCACAACTCTTTCAGAGTTTACACTGCACAAATTAAACACTTTAACAGTATACACCCAGTATATTTTTCTATCCTTAAAAATTTTACTTACAAGGACATTAAACAGGTTTCCTTATTATTCACTACAAAGCATTTAAAATTGAGCAATGGATAATGCAAATTACCAAAGTTTCTGACACCCCCCTCCTGCCATGAGTGCCAAATATCCTAGGTTCACCCCTGATGTGCGGTTAAGTTGCTGATCCACCATAAAGTTGCTGATCCACCATATAGTTGATGATCCACCATACAGTTGGCGTTCCACCATACAGTTGGCAATACACCATACAGTTGATGATACATCTGTTTTCCTCCTTTTTGGTTTCTTGAGCACTTGTTTATTTTCCATAACTCTTAAAGAATAAAATTTTGATTTTAAAACATTAGTCAATAACTTTAAAACATTGCTAAAAAAAGTAATAACTGTGAGTCTACAGTAGGTCCACATTATGGAAATATACCCAACACTGTCCTGCTGATATTCTCCAACTCAATTATAACAGTCCAAAATGAAATGATAAAACTTTCCCATATGAAATTATAAATCGATAGGCCTAATGATCAGGGATCTTGAGATGTCAAATGCAGATGAGAACGACGCATATTTGAATGACGTGTATGAATGCAGTTGACATAAAACAATTTGAGACAAGACAGCATTCTTTCAAATGTCAGAGACAAAAACCACATGAAATATGGGGTTAGATACGGCATCATTTTATTTCACACGCCTCAAATTGATTTCAATCTTCTTGTTAAGGTTTGTATTAAAATAATTTTTATTTATTTATTTGGTGGAGGTGTGGGATAGATTTTCGTATGTGAAAACAATTCTTAAAATTTGTATGAATAAATACATTAAAAAATATATATATAATTTGGCACAACCATAGCAGGATGATAATTTTTATAATATATTAACATTATTTAATGATAAAAATATGCAACCAATTGTTAGTTTTCTTTGGAAATGGCAAAACTCTTATTACCAGTTGGTGTGAACCAGCACCACAAATAAAGTGCAGTCTCTAGCAGCAGAATTCTCCAACTAATGATTTTTGGGAAGTATTAAACTACTAGAAATCTTGAAATATAAAACAATGAAAACGAATATATCAGTCAAAGCCTTCTTCAGCTAAATTTTTTTAAAAATGAAACAGAAAAAAAAAAATTGACTTTTTGGCCTCAAAATGATTGAAGAACCAGGAGACTAAATCAAGTTATGAATTATTTGAAAGGAGAATAATCAACTAACTACAAAGACTAGTGGAAGTTGCGTAAATGCAAATACAAATATTTACTTGTCATGTTATGTTTGCTGAAGAAGCCTTTTGGTTAAAATATTCCATTTTTTGTTGTGTTGTTTATACATGTTTCACTTAATGTGTACAAATTATTTCCTTAGGAAAATAGGAAGAGTTATGATTTTATGACGTAAAACCTTGCCCTTATAAAAATAATTTTACAGCACCTTAACAACTAGAGGATAATTGCTGTTATTATTTTTTTTAAAAAAGGTTAATACAAGTTTTAAAAATAAATTATTATTTGTGCGGAAAAATTTTTTTTAATTTAAAGTATGAAAAGAAAAAAAATTTGAATTCTATAAAACTTCGAAATGGAAAACAAATTGTTTTCCTGATATATTCTATCAAAATTACAACCTACATTATAAGTTAAATCTACCAACTGCCAAAGAGGATTGCTGAGTGTAGTCTAATTTTGTCAAATACATTTTCTATGTTGTAGTTTACATAATGCTAAATACATTATTTTAAATATCAAAAATATTAAAATTTGGAATTCATTTACAATTAATTTTTATCCACAACTTAGCATACAAAAAATACAAATAATTCAACCTTTATTACTGAGTCTACAAAACTAGATTAAGCACTGATGTCTTTTTTGTTGTAACACGCCAAAATGGTAGTGTTCAAACTAATACGGTTAGGTCTAGTTACATTTTCAAATGTTAAACAGGAATAATTTTTACACAAATTTTCGTTAGGGAACAATTGAAATGTGTAACTATATACAATATTTTTATCTACATAAACTTCTTGGTTTGCTACATGTCTGATATAGGCTCAGGTGGTGTAGAAACAACATGGAGGTGGGGGGGGAGTCTTATTGTTTCTGATGGCATTGATTTGTACCACATGGAATAAGAAGTCAGGACCTGTTCTGTCACATACACCCACTTTCTATCATGTTCAATGAAATTTTATTTCATGATAACAAAGGTCCGAAAGCAACAGAGAAACCACCATGAACATCAAAAGAAGCTTGATGACCCTTGAGCCAGGTACCAGACATTCCAACTGCAAGAAACATGTTTTATTATAAATGTCAAGTTACCAAAAATGGTAACAATGTTGTTTTGTTTTATGGTGGTGTTTTTTTTTTGGGGGGGGGGGGGAGAGAAAGGATTTTTCCTAGCAAAAAATGAGTCTTGGAAAAGTTGAACTCCTGAAAAATAATGTGTTAGCCCCTTGTATTTTTTGTACAAGTCAAGCAAAAAAATGTAGGTGACCTAAATATTAGTAATGTGAGAAAAATATTATTGTAAATTAGACAGAGTTATTCAACTTTAAATAAATATTTTAACTTATATTTCATCCCTGAATTGAAATATTATCATATCAGTTTTATACTTATACAAATAAAATAAGGACATCACTTTTGAAATCACTTTGCCTGAAATAAACAAAGCAACAAACATACTCGTGTGAAGATCTTGAACATGTATTGTCACAGCTAAAGAAGACTTTTGTCTTTTTAAATTAAGAATTGTTCCTTAGCCAGGAAAGGACCCAACAAATAATTTGTTAAACCGTTCGACATTTACAAAAAAAAAATGTCAGCAAAGTTTTCTGGCAAAACAATAATTAGTGCCGTGGTTCTCAAACTTTTTGAATTTTATACACCCTAAATTACTGCTAAAAAATATGATACCCATGGGGGGAGGAGGATATTTGCACATGATATATTTGTAATTTAATTTAGTAAGATCTCTGTATAATCGGTGCCACCAGGGACAGTTTAATGTTTCTTCATTGAAACAAGTATTATGGTATCAGAAACACCTAGGATATTAACCTAAATACCAATTTTTTATGACACACATGAAAGGCAGGAAGTGAGAAATGAAGGAAACAGGAAGTGGAGGTTGGCTGTACCAAACTTTGTCAGATGGGATGGACAACCCTTAAATTTGGGCAATGACATGCTTTTGTTTTGCTACAACGTCTGTTAGAGGCCCAGGTGGTGTTGAAACAACATGGATGGGGTGGGGGGGGGGGGGCAGGGGTTATGGTTTTTGGGGGCTTGGATTTGTTTATCTTGTGATAAAAAATATTTTTACATATTGTCACTATTAGGTATCACGAGTGTTGAATTTCAATAGATTTAAATCAAATGGTAAAAAATGAGTAATCATCACAAATTCAGACTTTATCATAGGATACTCTTGGAATATTGATACAAAGACACCAGAGCATGACTCAACATGTTACATGAAATGTATTTTAAATAACATGGGATAAATCTGCACATAACCATATTGCCCCATACAGTCACTGGGGAGCAACAAATGCCTCATTTTGAGGAAATATAACATTAATTTGATACATTTATAGAAATATATCCTTTTAAGTTGTCATTTACATATCATTTCCAGCAATATATGTACATTTTTTAAAAAATATTCATTTACATTGGATGAACATAAATAAGGCATTGTTCTATTGTCCAGTTCATTTTTTATGTACATATTTTTTTTAAAAGTCACATTTATTAAAAATTGCAAATTACATTAAAAATAATTTTATTATTTTTTTTTTTTTTTTGTTTGATTAAGAAAAATTATCAAATAAATTTGTTTAATCATTTTATAAAGTAAGCCTAAAACTTAATCAAATAATTTTAAAATATTCAATAAAGTAAAAAAAATTAATAAATTGTTGAGATTCTTTTTATTTATAATTGTTTAAACGTTTAATTACATTAAAAATAATTTTATTATTTTTTTTTTTTTGTTTGATTAAGAAAAATTATCAAATAAATTTGTTGAATCATTTTATAAAGTAAGCCTAAAACTTAATCAAATAATTTTAAAATATTCAATAAAGTAAAAAGAATTACTAAATTGTTGAGATTCTTTTTATTTATAATTGTTGAAACGTTCGTCCATATTTGACATCTCCTAATCAAGATGTCATAAATGGGCAATTCATATAAAAAATGACATCTCAAACTATGATTGACAGAAATGTGTAATCATTAATTAAAAAAAGGCACACTAACTATCACAGCCATAAGGCAGTCAATCAAGATAAATAATCACTCAACATTTTAACAGCCATATCAAGGCAAAACTTCATGCAACATAATGACAGCTATTTCAGGGTAGATAAGTCTCACAGCCAGAAGACAGTCCTAATGCACAACCATGTAGGGCAGCCTTGCAGCTGATGAATTAGAAATCTTCG